AAAGTCATAATAATAAAATAAAGACTCTATTCACCCAAAAGAGAAGGAAATAAATTTGCCATTTTTGCTTTCTGAAGAGTGAAGACATTCTTTACACAGGCCAGCAATACCCCACCAGAGGCCACAGTTCATAATTACCCTGCATAGTTTCCAGGGGAAAGTACATAAAATGCATAAAACTTAAGCAGTTTTTTCAACCTAGCTGTAATGTGATTTCATGATATTTGTAGCTTTTGTGTAATTTCCACAGCTATTTAATAAATAAACTTTTTAATGAATAAATTAAGGCCCAAAGTGGCGTAGGTACACTAAACTTTTGGAGCAGAAGAGATGGCTTTAGAGAGGAACCGACTGCTCACCTCTGCCTTCTTAGGTCGCCTTTCTGGGATGAAGCAGCACTGCTGGTTGGGGAAAAGGGTCTCAGTACTCTTTCTACTGACCAGACCTACTTTTCCGAGCACTAAATGGGCACATTTTTTGACAGATGAGAAACTAGAGCCAGGTATCCTGACTCCCACATCTGTATTTGGACCTCAGTTGTTGCTAAATGTATGACTTGAGCAGGTCTCTTGATTTCGCTGGGCCTGAGTTTCTTCATCTGTTGGTGGGGAAAGTGTTACATCTGTCTTGCAGGTTTAGTGAAAATGAAAGGAAGCAGTATGTGAAAGTGTGGAAACCACAGTGGATGTTTATCAGTGTGAAATGTTCTACCTTCGTCTTTCCTGTGAGCACTCCCCTTCCTAAAGACCCCAGAAGAGAAATGGCTTGATATCTTATGCCAACAAAGTGACTGATGCTGAGGTGAAAGGCAGATGAATTGTTTGTAATTGATGTGTGTTCAAAAAATCCATCTACTTCAGAAAAATCAGAGGATCTCTTCATCCAGATTTTAGTTGTTCCATTTACTTCCTGCTTAAAAATGGTAACCCATACTGCTATAATTTGGATAACTCTGAAGTTAAAAGAAAGTTGCTAAAAATAGGCTTTGGGGGCAAAATATAAAATTATTGCTTTTCCTCGTTGGCCTAAACCAGACACATAATAAAGGAGGATGTAGTGAGAAGTAGGAATTTGTTTGCCAAAGACTTAGATGCTACCAATCTTTAAGTAGTCTTGATGGGTAAGGAGAGTATAAATTAAGAATATTAACTTTGAAATACAGATAAAGTTGGACTCATCCTAGTCACGTCATCTTCTTAATTGTGTGCCCTTGAGCTAATTACTTAACCTCACTGAGTTTCTCAGTTTATTCATCCATAAAAAGAGGAAAATATATGTAAAGTGGTTAGCACAGTGCCTGACACTTAGTAAGGGGTCAAAAAGATGTGTGTGGGGTGATTAACAGTGATATTTAATTGGCATTAGCTAGATGCCTAGGGGATGAATCTGAGGTAGCTTCCAGGGAATTACAAAAGCATGAGTGACTGTGATGGGTTGTATTAGCCTCCTAGGTTTGTTATAACAACGTACCACAAATTGAGTGTCTAAGAACAACAGAAGCTCGCTGTCTTATGGTTTTAGAGGCTACAAGTCTGAAGTCAAGGTGTCGGCAGGACCATGCTCTCTCTGAATCCTGTAGGGAGAGGATTCATCCTTGCCTTTTCTGGATTCTGGTAGCCCCAGCCATGCTTTGGTTTGGGGAAGTATAGCTTCAAAGCTTCCTTACTTCACATGACATTCTCCCTAGGTCTTTATGCATCATATTCCCTCTGTCTCTGTGTCCAAATTTCCCCTTTTTATAAGGACAGTAGTCATTTTGGATTGGAGCTCACCCTAATGACCTTATCTTAGCTTGATTACATCTTGATTCTAAATAAGGTCACATCCTGAGTCACTGGGGTTAGGACTTCAACGTATTTTTGGAGGTGACACAATTCCACCCATAATATGAGTATACAGAGTTCCTAGAGTTAAATGCAACAAACCTGGCCCTTACCTCTACATTTTAAAGTTTGCTGAGGTCTCCACAAGTTAAGCAAACCTTATGCATCCTGGGGAGGCCGAATGTGGAAATGATATTCTGATGTTTTTAGCTGAGTAGTGGATACTTCCTGATCACAAAAGGACAGAAGCTCCTCGGACTCAAGCATCAGCGGGCCTTCCTTTTAACCTCAGTGAGTGGAGGGCCCCCAGGAAGCATGTACAGTCTCTACTCACCTCAAGGGAAACAGCGCTGAAATCATAGATTGGACCTTCCCAGGCCTTTATGGGTTAGTCTCACGGGAGGGATTTGTTTTCCACGTATTCTCCCTTCCCTGTATATGTGTTTAATCATTGTGACCCAGGGAAGCATTACAAGTCTGTCTGTCTTAGATCTGAAGACTTGCAGGCTGGGAGGGAGAGCCTGTAAAACATTCGTTCCACCCAGGGAATGGAGGCTCTGTCAAACTGCTACCCCAGGAGCTTAAAGAAGGCGAGTTTTATGAGCCCAGGTAAATCTGGAGCTACAGGTAAATCTCAAACCAGGATGCGCAGGTACCAAGGGAGCAAAAGGAACACAGCAAAGGTGAAAACTGAGCATAGGAGGGGGTGAAATTACAAGTTACAAGAGGAGGTATCTTAGTAAATCCAATGGCCTGCTGGTTAAACGTAATGAACCACTCCCCTAAATAAATTGTAGAAGGTGCTAGAAATTGTTGGGAGGAAAAAAGACTGACAAAGTAGAACCGTTCCACCCTTAAACTGAGTACGGTGTCCGTTTCTTAGGCCGTCACAAAGTACTACATACCCAGTGTCTTAACCTAATAGGCAGGATTGTTCCCTTCTGAGGCTCGTGAGGGAGAATCTGTTCCAGGGCTCTCTCCTAGCTTATTTTGGTTTACTGGCCATCTCTGACCGTCCTCGGCATGTGCATCCATCACTCTAATCCTCTGCCTTCACGTGGCATTCTCTCTGTATTTCTTCACAGAGTACCTTCCATGCATGCCTGTTTCCATGTCCAGATTTCCCCCTTTTTATAAGGACACCAGTCCTATTGGATGAGGACCCACCCTAGTGACCCGTCATAACTTGATTACCTCTGTAAAGGCCTTATTTCCACATAAGATCACATTCTGAGGGAGTCAGTTAGGTCAT